AAATGACTTTTTTATAGTACTTGGATGCTTTTAAAGGTCAATTGTTACCATTTTTAATCAGAAAAGTGAAGAATTTGGTCAAAAATTATATTATCCATGACAAAAAATGGTGACAAAAGTTTATTTTTGCTGCCCTAGGACATTTTATATAGCTTTTTAATAGTACTTGGATGCTTTTCAAGGTCAATTGTTACTATTTCAAAAAAAAGTGTAGAATTTGATCAAAAATTATATTATTCATGACCAAAAAATGGTGGCAAAAGTTTATTTTTGCTGCCTTAGGACATTCTAAATGACTTTTTTATAGTACTTGGATGCTTTTAAAGGTCAATTGTTACCATTTTTAATCAGAAAAGTGAAGAATTTGGTCAAAAATTATATTATCCATGACAAAAAATGGTGACAAAAGTTTATTTTTGCTGCCCTAGGACATTTTATATAGCTTTTTAATAGTACTTGGATGCTTTTCAAGGTCAATTGTTACTATTTCAAAAAAAAAGTGTAGAATTTGATCAAAAATTATATTATTCATGACCAAAAAATGGTGGCAAAAGTTTATTTTTGCTGCCCTAGGACATTTTGAAAGGCTTTTTAATAGTACTTAGATGCTTTTCGAGGTCAATTGTTACCATTTTTAATAAGAAAAGTGAAAAATTTAATCAAAAATTATATTATCCATGACAAAAATTAGTGTCCAAAAATTTTTAAAAGCCCTTATTTGCCTTAATTTATCCTTCTAAAATCACGAAATTCCTAAATTTTTTCTGCAACGACAGTAAAATCAATAAATTTAAAAAAATATATATTATCCATGACAAAGTCACGTGATCCTGAAGTTATTTTCGCCCTAAACCAGTTGCGATTCGACTATTTTTACGTCAGATAACATATCACACCGTGGACTAAGCGAACCCCAAAAATACGTCTACTCGAAAACAAAACCCGAGTATTTTGATTACTTGCGGGGCGGAAAACAAGAGTACATGTTTATGGGACCGGAGCCATGCCCTTTTCCACGATCGGTCTGTACGCCTGCCAGAACGCAGTCGGCAAAGAGTTGGCGGTGTATTTTGCGGGGCGAGAACGCCACGCTAGGCGAAGGGGGAGACCGACGGAAATAGTAATGAATTGTTATTCATCAGCAGCACTTTTGTTTACTTTAACGTGAATTTAAGGACACACGGATGCGGAGAGGGCAAGGAGGACGGTAGATTTTGATTTTTGGCACTTCATAAGGGACAAAAGAGGACGGGATGATATTAATTTTTAAATTAAAAAAATGATGACTATTAAAATAGTCATCATTTTTGAATTTTAGTCATCAAAAATTTTGAATCCAAAATTGAAAAAATTGGATTAAAAATGGTAAATTTTAAAATTTGGAAGAAGCCGGGATTTATTTCAGTCCTCTCATATTGACGTAGCTGCTTTAAATTTTGTGTGAACTTCCTTAGACTAGCTAAAATTTGAGGCTTTATCTGGAAAGCATGAATAAATAGAGTAAAATCAAGCAAATCGCAAGATTTTATGTTCAAAAATTTCTTGTTTTTTCACCCTCCTTGTAACTCCTAGAGCGATAGGGCAGCATGTTATGTCACTTCCAAAAATGCATAAAAAATTTTGGAGAATCACCAAAACTTTGAAGATTCTCCATTTTTTCGGATATTAATCTTGATGACTTCGCCAACTCTACTGTCTCACAGAACCCGATACTTCCCCATATTTCATCCCAAAAGCAATGTAGAATCGACGAAACTCTTCCACTTTGACCCACATCCCCGTCACAGCTTCCATTCCCCGTCGGAAAAAAGTCGCCTCCCCTCCGAACACTAAAGGTCAGTGGAGATTTTATCGGAAATGAATACAAATACTTAATAAAAACGGGTAAGTCTTGTTTTTCGCGGTCTTATCACCCCTCCCTTCCTCTCTCTCTCTCTCTCTCTCTCTCTCTGCCCAACGCTCCACCGAAAAAGTCGAAGTGGAACCAGCGAAAAACACGGGGAAATCAAATTGTTACACAACATCAAAATTTTTGTCTTAAAGTCGAGTGAAATTCGAAAACTCAAGTAGTTGTCGAGGCAGAAGCGGGTGACAAGTCGAGCTGAATGGACCAGAAAAGAGGGTAAGCCGTTTACAGCGTCTGTAAAGATGAGCCAGACCGGATATTACATTCACAAATTTTGCTAAGGGTCTATCAAGAGGTCTACAACAAGGTAGAACAGCAAAAAATAGATTTTTATCAAATTGAAATGTAATAAATATAACAGAAAAAGATCTCAAGAGTATCTACGGTATACTAAAAATTTGAAGTCATCAAAAATTCAACTTTTTTGAAAGAAAAATATCAAAATAAGTCATCAAAAATAAAACTCTTACGTCCCTTTTAAAACCCCCTTTTTCAACCAAATTTTTGGCTTGAACACCTTTCTTTTTGGTAAAAGATAATATATATAAACTTCGTATTTTAAAATAAAATCACACTTTTTGCCTAATCCAAGCAAAATTCCCCCAAAAAACTCTCCAAAAAACAGTTCCAAATGATCATCGCCTTTTCAAAAATAAGGCGTCTTCTTATCGTTCCCTGCCCTTTTTATAACCGCCTATTTACAGATTAAACCATCATGGTTCATAAATTACTACTGTTTTTTTCAAAAATCATCCAAACTTTAGATACGTCTAAACAAAAGTGGAAAAAACAAAGCCTTTAATCAGACAGGTCTGTCGCACTAAGCTCACCAAAAATCATGTTTTCAAAAAGTTCAGACCTCATTTTTATGCCTTCCGATATACACATTTTTCAATTTGTAAGGTCTTTATATTGTACTATACATGAACTTTTGCACTCTGCAAAAAAATCGTGTTATAAAAAAAAGTAAAGTAGATAAGTCGCTGAAATCTTCCCACAAATAAAATACGTCGTAAACCACCACCTTTCCAGGCCATTACAAGGCCATTACACATGCCCCCCGGATCGTATACTAGCGGCGGAAAGTGCAACTTGACGGAAATCGATAAAAAGATGGGCGTCCATCCATCCCACTGACCAACTGATACCCGAACAGAAAGCGGAGTTCAGGAGGAAGCGAAAAGGATTAGGGAGGAGGGGGGATCCGAAACGTAAAAATTGAATCCTCGCCTTCCGCGACCTGCAAATGGGGAAAGCAGTAGTAGTCGGAGGGCAAATATACGACCAAAAGCGCAAAAACTTGGTGTTTCTTCGTCTTTCCTCGCCTTTTTTACGGCGGAATCTCCTCTCTTTTTGCCCCCCACTCTTCTTCTTCTTCTTCCTTCGTCCCCCATTGACCGTCTAGACATTCGCTTCGTGGCGGCGACGTCGCCGCTCTCCCGAATGGCCGCGCTCTCTCGGTTCGGCCGTCTCCTCCGATCCGCCCAACTCTCGGCTGCGGATGGCTCTGTAGGCAATGGAGCGCGTGGAATCGGGGTCTCCGCGAAGTCAGCGCTCTCTCCACTTGTTTTTGTCGTAAAAAATGACCGCGAGAATGTATGGGGCCTCCTCGAAGTACGTCGTCTTTCGGGGTGTTCGCATAAAAAATCACACTCTCATCGATTTTAATGGTATTTTTCGGCGAAATTATGTCACAAAATATACTTTTTATGAATTTTTACGCCTCGCAATACAACTTGACCACATTTACGCCACCTTTTAAGGCAGTTTGCGACCAAAAAAGCTTTATTTTAACCAAAATTTTGTCATTTTTTCCGTCTCAAGTCCCAAGAACACCTTCGTGTTTTTCAAATTCGCACCGAACTTGTTCTGGTAATCCAATACGCTTCCCTTGTCCATCATCTCCACTTCGCAGCGTTGTTTTTCAACGAAATTCGGAGGCTTTTTTGACCTTCTAGCCCGGTTTTTCTTTTTTTCTTTCGCTCTCTGCCGTCTCGTTGTTTTCGCGCGCTCTCTGGGCGTATTTTTTTCGCAGAGGGTGTCGTTGAAGGAATGCTGTAACTAATGGTTTTGTTTTCGACTATTCGAATCAGTCTTTCGCTGTCTGCCGTCTATCCCGCCACCCTCACTATTTCGGCTCCGATTTTCCCGCTTCACTTTCCGCGGGGTCCGCCGCTCGACAAAAACTCCCTTCCGAGCCCCACAGGGTCAGTGCGTTCGTTCGTTCGCTCGCTCGCCTCGTCTAGACGTCTCCACCAGCGTTTTATAATGTCTAGACGGCGGCGATTCGCGCCCAACGAATGTGGAGGAGGAGGACGGGAACGGTGGGGGGAAATGTCATAAATTATCGACAGCAAGAGAAGGCGTTTTTGTTACTGTATAAAAAACAAAAGAGAGTGTGATGGATCGGGTGAAGGAACGGTTACTTTTATTTAATACTCGGAAAGTGATATTACACTCGAGAAAAGGGACAAAGCAACAAAAAAACAGTTGAAAATCAAAGTAAAATTGTGTTTTAGGGGCGATTTATTCATCGAGGACCCCGAAAATCAACAAAGAAGGCATCTACGTTGTTCACATTACAATAAGTTGGCGATAAGTTTGGCCTGATTTCTAAAAATGCCAATATTAATGTAAAAAACTTGCGAAAACTTGATTTTCAACCCCTTTAAGACAAGAAAATCAACCAAAACTCTCTTATATGACTGTTATTCGTTGTAAAATGCCTTAAAAAAGAGTTTGATCTCTTTATCACCGCCACTTTAATCAATTTTATGTTGTACATGAAACGCCAGATGTTTCACTAAAAATCTCATATATTTGCTATGCAGAAACCTGAAATAAATTCTTCGAACCCAAAATGAGGGACTACGTTTATTTTTCCAATGATCCACAAGACTTTTTGAACACTTTACCTTTTTCCAGCTAGACCCCACCACGAAAACAATGAATGCAAAATAGATCTTGGCATAATGTTTTAATATTTGTTTTTGTCCGAGAAGATACAGATATGGGTGGAAAATTGTCTATGTAAAATACTAGGTGTTCAATTAGATCATCCAGAGTATTTTTCGGTCAAATTTTTCCTGATCGAATGGCTTCTCCAGCAACAGGGCCTACGACAAGGTCCAAAACTGATCTGATGGATGAAGAAGCCATCTTTCTTGTCGAACTGATGGCCCCATGCCATAAATTTTTACTCGGAAGAAAGGGATCAACATTGCTTTTGAAAGGAGTGGCGACAAAAGTGTCCAGATTATCCAAAAATAAACTGATCTCCGCCATTTCCCAAAGCTTTTGTGCCAAATTCCCGCGGATACCCAAGGATTTTGATATCGAAAAATGGTGGAGGACAACGACCAAGAGTGCTGGTGAAAGGTTGGAGACTGCGGAAGCGTTTTCTGAGGTAAATTTATATTGTACTTGACATCTGATGTTATCCATGAGGAAAAAATTATTTAGAATTGTATTTCTGAGCTTTTTATTGAGTAATAAGGTCAATAGAAGCTGTGAAGATGGTATAGCATTACTTTCGGCCTGTTTTCAGGTGGATGTTGCCATTCTCCGAGCTTTGCATCCCGGGCATCCGCGAGTTATCGCTCTAACGTCGCCAAATCCTCAAATGGAACGTTCGAATCAAGATAATTCCTCGGAATCCTCATCGAGTAGTTTTCCGTCAACTTCAACCTCACCGGAGCCTGATCTTCCAGCTATTCCAAATCTTCTGAATGATGCCTTGATTAATCTAATCAGAGAGCCAACTCCACCTCAAAAGGAACGCCGGAGATCAAAGAAAAGAAAAACAGAGGGTATGTGGACTCTTTCATGGGATTTACATTGATTTTGATAGAAAAAGTATCGAATTTTGGCTTGATTTATATTACTTTAGATGATTAATCTAACGGGGAAAGTACTTTTATGGGGTATGGAGTTACGGGTCGAGTGGTATATCAAAAAACTCGTAAATTTTTTCTGATTCAGAATATGTAAAAGTTAGTTGCCTGATTGTGATTTGTAAGGGCGAAAAAATCCTCAGAACTTTTCTCGCAACACCACACAAATGCCTTTTTGACCAAGTTTTTGCCGATTCAAAAGTTTTGTTTTGAGCTAAAGTAAACCCTGGTATCTTGACAAGCCTTACAATATCGAATTTGATTAAAAAACACAAATTCCCCTTTTTTATATTGGAACTACCAATTTTAATTAGTACCTTAAAAGGTGTAATATTAATCGAATTTGATATTTTAAGGCTTGTCAAGATGTCTGGGTTCACTTTAGCTCAAAACAAAGCTTTTGATTTGGTAAAAAACTTGGTCAAAAAGGCATTTGCGTGGTGTTGCGAGAAAACTTCTGAGGATTTTTTCACCCTTACAAACGAAAATTAGGCAGCTAACTTTTACATATTCTGAATCAGAAAAAATTTGCGGATTTTTTGATATACGTCTCGACCTGTAACTCCAAACCCCATTGAAGTACTTTCCTTGTAAAATTTTTTTTTCATTTCAATCTTACAAGGGAATGGTCTGAACTTCCCCCAGCGTTAAGGAAAATGACTGGTACGGGTGGATAGAGCAGGTCGACTTTGGTAGAAAAAGGCAATTTCCAGCTGCAAAATAAGCACCGCCGACGAGAAAAATCGACCGAAAGTTCCGAAAAAATTTCCTCTTTCTCTTCCCTCGGAAAAGAAGAGGAGCATCTAGTGGTTCGGTTGGTCGAGTGGATAGAGCGTCCGCTCGATATCCTTTTGGGGGTTGGTTCGATTCCGGGGCAGCGCGAGTGGCTATGATAAGGCTTCAGTGACCAAGATAAACTCTTGTGAACAAAAAAAAAAATATTTTGCAATTTTTCGATTTTCTAGAGATCATAAAACACATAATAATAAAGGATTTCTATGCAAATTCCTCCATTTTTTCTGTAAGATTCCAGAACGGTTCCAGTCATATCCAATGACCTAGTCATGGACTGTCTGTTTTCCGAACACTAGTAGACGTTTGTCAAAACCCACGATGTGCTCAAGATGTGCTTCAGTTTGCTCCTTATTGGGAACGTTCTGGAATCCTCTAGAAAAATTGGCGGAATTTACATGGAAATCCTTTTTCTTTATGTGTTTTATGATCTCTAGAAAATCTAAAAATTGAAAAATAATTTTTTTTGTTCACAAGCGTTTATCTTGGTCACTGAAGCCTTATCATAGCCACTCGCGCTGCCCCGGAATCGAACCAACCCCCAAAAGGATATCGAGCGGACGCTCTATCCACTCGACCAACCGAACCACTAGATGCTCCTCTTCTTTTCCGAGGGAAGAGAAAGAGGAAATTTTTTCGGAACTTTCGGTCGATTTTTCTCGTCGGCGGTGCTTATTTTGCAGCTGGAAATTGCCTTTTTCTACCAAAGTCGACCTGCTCTATCCACCTGTACCAGTCATTTTCCTTAAAGTCCGAGGTTCTCCAAGCCAAGGCGCAAATAAGGAATGTTCCCGCTGTGGGACCCAACACGGCGGGTCTCTCTCGCAAAAAAATAAAAAAAATATTTTTTTATTGTTTGAAATGGTACAAAGAAGGTGAAAGATGAGTGACGATCACTGAAAAAAGGTATGTTTTTTGTGTTTTCTGATTTAGGGCAGCTCGGCAAAAATTTTTACGACAGCTGATCCAAGATTTTTTGTGTTTTGGGCGAATGAAGGTAATTTTGGACATTCCTAAGCATGAAAATGGGTGTAGCTTTCCAAAGAACCATCCAGGAGTGATGTTGATCGAGTTTTTGCCAAGTTAGAGTCAATCCCTTCAGCAAACTACCTAGTATAATATAATTTTTTCCAGGATTTTGAATTGGAATGCAGCCAGACGGCTAAATTTCACCGCAAGGACTCGCTGAAGCCAGAAGAAGAGACGACACCATTCAAATTCCATGTGGAATGGCTTTTTCCGAAGCTGATGTCAACAAAGAAAAGGTGAGTTTTTCTTGGTTTTCACTTTTTAGGTCGGGAAATCTATTGCTCCTTGAGCAAGGCAATGGGTTTAGCTTCCCAAACATGCTATCTGGAATGCGGCTGCTTCATCTTGCGCCACATCAGGCCCACTGTTGTTTCTAGTGTAATATAATTTTTGCAGGTGAAAACGCTCCCCGACCGCGAAGCTTCGACGATGCGAAACGTCTGGGACAGTATATGGGCGATAAAGAAGGTCTCATCGATGGCAAACACTGAGGAGAACCGAATCAATTTATTATTGTAAAAACACACCAAATGTTTTGATATTAATCATAAAATATTATACCGTTGACCTGGATATTGTTGAACCTGTCTTTACTGAGCTCTTTAGATGAGGCTGGCGGGCATGGGAGGCGAATGGGCCGGTTTTCCTGTAAAAATTATATATAAGAAACATTGGGTCTGATGTGGCGCAAGATGAAGCAACCGCATTCTAGATAGCATGATTGAGAGGCCATACCCATTGCCTTGCTCAAGGAGCAATGGGTTTCCCTACCTAAAAGGTGAAAACCAAGAAAAACTCACCTTTTCGACGTTGACATCAGCTTCGGAAAAAGCCATCCACATGGAATTTGAATGGCTTCGTCTCTTCTTCTGGCTTCAGCGAGTCCTTGCGGTGAAATTTAGCCGTCTGGCTGCATTCCAATTCAAAATCCTGGAAAAAATTATATTATACTAGGTAGTTTGCTGAAGGGATTGACTCTAACTTGGCAAAAACTCGATCAACGTCACTCCTGGATGGTTCTTTGGAAAGCTACACCCATTTTCATGCTTAGGAATGTCCAAAATTACCCTCATTCGCCCAAAACACAAAAAATCTTGGATCAGCTGTCGTAAAAATTTTTGCCGAGCTGCCCTAAATCAGAAAACACAAAAAACATACCTTTTTTTCAGTGATCGTCACTCATCTTTCACCTTCTTTGTACCATTTCAAACAATAAAAAAATATTTTTTTTATTTTTTAGCGAGAGAGACCCGCCGTGTTGGGTCCCACAGCGGGAACATTCCTTATTTGCGCCTTGGCTTGGAGAACCTCGGACTTTAACGCTGGGGGAAGTTCAGACCATTCCCTTGTTAGCTTTCTCTCGACTCTCGTTCATTATGTCCATTTCAGTCGACCAGACCCCGCCCAAAGAAACGACGGATATTCAGGTTCAATTGTCGGCGGAATACATGGACTACGCTTTATCCGCGATGCGATTGGACGCATATTTGGTGCAGAAAAGGAGTCGCATCATGTTCAATGATGACCTTTCAATGACTGTTCGAGATCTTCAGCCGGGAGAGCAGAGTTACAACACTTTCCCGTGCTTTTTGAAAAAATAATGGGGTATTTTATATTGTACTAGATGGAGAGATATAACGGACTTAATTTATATAGTATTGAAGTGGAGAGTTTATTTGCAGAATCCATGAAAAACACCGTTAGGATGGTGGAATTCAAAACGATACGGCTTTTAGCGGGCAGTGGAAGGGGAGATCAGGGAGCGGCTCAGCGCACTTTCTTGGTCCATTTGTCTAAAAAATAAGATAGTATATGCGGTGTGTAGTCTTATTACTGCAATTTCTAGACAGTGGATATGGCTATCGGACATTAAAACTAGATTTTTTTGTCAAAAACCCATGTAATCATGATGGATATTATAAAAAAATTCAAAACCGCAAAGTTAAAAGTGTAGCTAGTACAGCGGCGGACCTGATCCAATGGCAAAAAACGCTCCATTTTGCATCCGAAAAGTATCAAAAATGTAGCAAAATACCTCCCTCTCCAACTGAAAACCCCCAGTTTTGAAGAACGCCTCACAAAAGGGAACGGGCGCGCTTTTGAAATTGGAGTTTTTTCACTTGGAGAAGGGGGTATTTTGCTACATTTTTGATACTTTTCGGATGCAAAATGGAACGTTTTTTGCCATTGGATCAGGTCCGCCACTGTACTAGGTACACCTTTAACTTTTCGTTTTGAATTTTTTTATATTATCCATCATGGTTACGTTTTTTGACAAAAAATCGAGTTTTATCGTCCGATAGCCACGTCTACTGTCGAGAAATCGCAGTAATAAGATTCGATGTAAGAAAATCCGTTATGGATAATATAAAAAATGATCAAAGGCAACGAAAATAAAGGTGTGTCTAGTAGAAAAACTCTCTAAAACAGCCTCAAGATCTCTTCTTACCTCAACGGTTTGACGGAGATCCGATCCTGATTGGCAGTGGTCCCTCCGGCCTCACAACAAGCCGAGGTGATGGTGGGTTTGATCTCTTTCTTCGGCTTCCTCGACGAAGTCGTCTGCGATCTTATACTCACACTGCTCCGTTTGCTCGAATAACGGCTTCTACTGCATTGTATGCACAAAGCGTATCCCAAAAGTAGAGTAATAATGGCCAGAAGGAACATTTCTGGCCATGAACCGGCCGATTGATTGAAAATCCGAGAGAAATGAGGTGTGGAATGTAATGGACAACCGGTCTTCGAATGAGGTTGAAATGTATAGCACTTTTGTGGGTGCGAAAGCATAGCTATGCATAGAAATTGGCGCATGATCAAACCGTTAAATTTTTGCACTTTGAATACGCCAAAATTTTGTTAAAAAATCGAGCAAAAAATATCCCGTAATGCTTGACATTCAACAGAAATCTAACTTGTGTCGACCAATTGATATTGTACTAGATGAGTCAACCGGAGCCCATGTCATTTTCCCCATATAAATCAAATTACTAGCCGCAAAACAAGACTGACTGCACTGAAAGTACCACTTCATCTAGGTCCCTACTAGTTCTTTCTTGCATAAAACATGATTAATTGGCGCTTTTACCGCCTTATTTGATGAATGCTCATCACGGATAACATCATTAAAATAAAAAAAAAAAAAAACGTAAGAAATCCGGCTTGAAGTAGATGGGAATCCAAATCTCATCTGGCAACGGCTCCATTAGTCATCGACTTCCACAAGAGGGTCTTCAAATATTTATATTCGGGCATCTTTTATATTACACTTGACATCAAAACCTTCGGATATTTGGAGCTTTGGCCAATCGATCCAGGTTTTGGCTAGCCATTTAAGAAATTCATTATTTCTCTTTTATACCAGTTATATTTTTTTTTAAAAGCTATGCAGCCATTTTGACATTTTGGCTAGCCGATCCAAGTTTTTGGCTATCCAGACGGAACAATCTTTTTGGCTGCCATGTCAACTCAAGGCCTAGCTAGTCAAAATGGTTTAATATTGGCTATACATATTGAGCTAACAGCCGACCTGCCCCTAAGGAAAGGTTGTGCTTTTAACCTTACAATTAGGTCACCTCATCATGTATAATATAATTTCTTCGTCACTTGCCAACGCCCGAGCTTTTCGTCAGTTTTCGACTGCCTTTCAACCGTTTAGTGTTTGGTTTTGTGCGTTTCAAGAAGTTGGAGACGGTTTCGGTTGGCGCTGAGAGCACGTTGGAATCGCTAATGAACAGTTTAGAGGAATTCCTGCAGATTCTTCAAAAACGTTCTCAAACCGCGGAGATTTAGGTGGGTTGGGAGGGGAGGCAAAGAATGAGGAAGCGGTTTAAGCATCTTTAACATTTTTTTGTACTTTTGCCGACGAACGTTATGGATATTTTAAGGGTTATGATGATGAGAATATATGATTTAGATTGGATAGTAATTTGAGCACGACAATTGTTATCAATTTTATCTTCTATTAGAGTTAGTATTACGCCTTTTACCAAAGATTTGAGTCATTGGAAGACCGGAAAGTTTTCAAAATGAGGTTTTTTATTAGACTAGACCTCTACTACTAGTAAATATCTAGACAAGTTGTTGTCATCGCAGGGACTATACTGAGAGCTCTATTTATGCCGTAACTTTGGCCAATTTTGAAAATTTGCCATAAAATCTCAAATTTTTTACTTTCGCTCTAATAAAGGCTCTGACGACAAGCCGTAAACAGATCAATGAACGTATTTTAAACATACCTCCACGTCAATCAATTCAAACTTCCTTTCCAATTTCCTGATCCACCTTATTTTATCCCGTCATCTCCATACACTCATGTGTCCAACTTTCCCCCCTAATCCCTCCCTGTAATCCATGCTCCCGTACGGTAAACTCTCACGTCTTGAAATCAAGTCTTCGCGCCTAATTCCCATTTCCTGTTTGAAGTCCCCACAGACCCTCGAGTTATTGGTTTTCGGCGGTACTTTACTTAATAAGGCCTGGGAAACGAAAAGCTGATTATTCCACCTTTTCGGGGGGTTTTCGCGGCCCGAAAAAGGTGTCCGGCCAATTAATTTGTTCTCCCTCCACAACGCGTTTTTCAGATTTTTCGTGGAAGGATTTTAGGATCAAATATAGAGATATAGTAGACGTTTTTTATAATGTTATGTACAGGGTGGGCCACTCGAAACTCACAAGCTTAATTCAAGTATTTCTCCGCCAATAATGCACCTATTTATATAAAAGTTATACACTGCTCCACGAAATGATAGACGCACCCTGTTTTTAGCGATTATTTTCCTTGTACTAAATGATATCGAATAATGTTCAACAGATGAAATGTGGCAAATTAAACGAGAAATCATGTCCCGTAGCAATTTTGGAACAACATTTTGTCTTGACTGAGATATGACAATTTTCGACTTTTTTGGGGTCCACAAAATGATAGACGCAATTAGGTAATTTTTTGTTTATTTAAAAGAATTTTGAGTCAACCTGCTCTTATTACACTTCCTCGTGTTCTCTGTAGTATTAGAAAGGTAATTAGATTTATATCCGCCGTACTTCATCGACGCAGTGGCCTTATGAGCCATTTCCGACCTTGTACATGAGGTAAATATTCGGTTTGAGAAAAAAAAAAAATGATTAACGATTTGGCTTTCGCCAAAAACCATCTTAAACCATCATAGGTTACTAGTAGCAAATATAAGCCATAAAATAAACCAATACCGATTCGCTTGAAGTCATTTAATCGACCATTAAGTTACCGTATACCTTCTACAGTAACCTTCATAGGCTCTAAAAGTACAGAAGATTACTATCGATGCCAATTTTTTGCCCAGAAAATCAAACTCAGCATGTTAACAAACCTAAACGCGCAACTTATTGCCTGCTTAAATGTCATGATGATTGACACATGATTGATTAAAGATAAACCTGTAAAAACAAGCCTATTTTTGTGAACTTTTTTTTGTCGAACGACGTTACCGACCAAATTTATTCTGTACCGGCTGATGATTAAAACATTACGTTTTCAGGCATGCTCAGTTCGAATTTGCAAATGAAATTTTGTCATTCTCTTTATTCGCCTTGGTATTTCGGAGGTCTAAAAGTATTAATGTAGCTACATGTTGAAGATGATATGCCAAGAAAATGCTCGGGATCCTTGAGCAAGCCGCTTTTTTTTATCAGTGAGATCTACACGTATAATGTGATAGTATTAGCTAGTTTTTCGCCCAAGAAAACAGCATAACCTGCAGTTTTTTCCAAACCGAATATTTACCTCATGGACAAGGTCGGAAATGGCTCATAAGGCCACTGCGTCGATGAAGTACGGCGGATATAAATGTAATTACCTTTCTAATACTACAGAGAACACGAGGAAGTGTAATAAGAGCAGGTTGACTCAAAATTCTTTTAAATAAACAAAAAATTACCTAATTGCGTCTATCATTTTGTGGACCCCAAAAAAGTCGAAAATTGTCATATCTCAGTCAAGACAAAATGTTGTTCCAAAATTGCTACGGGACATGATTTCTCGTTTAATTTGCCACATTTCATCTGTTGAACATTATTCGATATCATTTAGTACAAGGAAAATAATCGCTAAAAACAGGGTGCGTCTATCATTTCGTGGAGCAGTGTATCAAATTGAAGCCGAGGCACCCCATTTCTTGTCCACCAAATACGACGCGTCTACATTTACGGAGCTCTTCGTACTGAGTTTTGAGATTTTCGTTCCAAATTTTGGAGCCCGAAATACATGAATTACGCTTGGGAGTTTCGGGTGGCCCACACTGTGCGACGAAAAAATCTGAAGCAAACTTTGCGAAACTATGAAGCAAATTTTTGATGACAATTTCTCCTCCTTTCCCACAGTCTCTCGTGTACAAAGAGAGGTTAATATCTCGGCAGATCTTGCACCTTTGCACCGCGAAAATTTTGCAGAAATTAATAGGTGGCCCCACTACAATATTCTTACAAAAAAATGGAGCAAAGTCTCGTACCTCGAGCACAGCTCCTCTCTCTATATTGTACTTACACATTCCTGTTTTTACTTCGAGCCCGCCCTTATAAACTTCGTCTCGCCTCTATGAAGGATATCATATAACTTGTGCGAGCCGCCACTCATCTCTTACTCTGCCAACTTGAACTCTACAATCTAAACTCCAAAAATTTCCTCCACAATTTTTAGTCCCGACATATTTTTTCTCTTCCTTTAGCGTTACGCTCTCTGGAGTTGATGGTTGCCCATGTCTGTTTTCTTTTGCTTATGCGTCCCTGGGAAGTAATTATGGGAATGCGAAAGTTGTCAACCAGTGTGCGTGTGTGTGGAGGTATTTTCGAAAAAACGAAACCCCTTTTTTCAACCCGATTGCCATGACAATGCACGCGCGTGAGTTTCCAATTGTAGCGTTGCGGAATGGAATGTGAATCGGCGGGGCCTCAGGCAATCAGTCGGACGGCTCGATGGGAATGGCGGAGGCGTTCTGATTCCCTTGTTTTAACCTTATTTTTTCGTGTCTGTTTGAAGCTTTGAATTCAGGATATCCTAGTGAAAATTGAACCTATTCCAATGAAATATCAGCGTTTTCGGATTAAGAATTTTCAAGCCATCCCGAATGTCGTATATAGATGGCGTCTTGAGGGACTCTGCGAGCGGAGATATACATTTCGGAGTTCAGACACTCAATTCGTGTTAACATTTTTGCAAAATGCACCTGGTATTATATATAAAGATGGAAGGGCAAAGCTTCAAAATTTTCCAGGATTTTCTAGATCGCATTTTTTTTATTTAATGTCTACTACGGCCGAGTTTCTCTATGGAAATTCGCACAAATTTAGATCAACCGTTTCTCATACATACGCGAAATTCTAGGCTCGCGTTTTGCAGAAATTAGAGGACTGCTTGAATTCAAATGCGTTGGAAATTTGAGAGGTTTTTGTGAATTGAAGAATGCTAAATTGTCATCGTTTCTTCATTTTTCGTTGCAGAATTTATACAAAGTTACGACCGAAAAAACGTTTCTCCCCTCCCAAACCGTCTTTATATCATGTATTGTCGTATGCAAAGGCCTCTGGCATAATTGTACTTGGGACGGTTTATACGGCCAACTCCATTCCTGTGCATGACACCACTCAAAGATATGTTCTTCACTTTGATTAAGCTTAAATTAGCCCTCTTTTACAGG